GCGTGGCGGGAGGGCGGGGGCAGCGGGAGCGCCAGCGGCCGGTCACCCGGCTGGCCGCGGGGCGGGACCAGGACCCAAGGCCTCCGGCCAAGGGCTGGGGACGGCCCTAGAGGCGCCAGGCTCTAGTCCTAGGCCCTTGACACAACGTAGGCGACTCCCCTCGACAAGAGAACGAAAACTGAAAAAGGAGCAGAGCTCGTGCGTGCCCTCGCGGGCCAGGAAGGGAGGCGGTTCTCTCGCCAGCGATCCTCGGCGACTCTCGGCGGTGGCCTGAGCCCCGTCCACAGGAGCAGCAGAGGCCTTCGGATGCCTTTTGCTCTCAGAGAGCTTCAAAGCCGCCGCCTGCCCCCACCCAGTAGGTGCAGAAACAGCCACACTGGAAGGTCGGTGCGGCGGCCGTCTGCTCCCTGCCCCGCCGGGGGGCCCAAGGCCGCCCTGGCAGGTCAGAGCCCCCCCGCTGACCCTCGGTCGCTCGTGAGCCAGGGGACAGCGGCCGAGGAGCAGAGTTTGACACCAAGATGCAAATAAAACTTGAGCCCAGCCCCTCCTCGGCACCTTGTAAACAGACACACGCTCTGGCTCCACGTCTGACAGGACTGCCGGTCAGCTTGGCTCTGAGGGGCCGAGTTTGCTGGGCTGTAGCAGGCCCCTGCGCACCACTCGGGCCAGTGACTCCCAGGGCCCCGCCCCTCAGAGTCGGTCCCGGGCCCCTCGGTGTGCCGCCCCCGCCCGGGCCCGGGGAAGAGATCTGCTCGCCGGCTGCTCCCCGCGGCGCTGCCACCTGATGCTCCGGCTGTCACCCGAGCCGGCGCGTGTCACCGTCACCGGAGAGCAGGCTCCTCTGGGCCGCTCCACGCCAGCCTCCCTCGCTGGCCTGCCCCGAAGCCGGCCCCGCAGGCAGCGCGGCCAGAGATGGAATTACACCCGCGAGCGGCCCGCAGAGCCCCAGGGACCGTCGCCCCACTCACAGGCCCGGGCCCCTGTGCACGGCTCACACGTCGCACTGGTGACTGCCCAGACAGGCCTGTGGCGGCCACAGGCAGGGGCCGAGGGACCCTGAGCCGGCCCGCCAGGTCCATCCCCGAGTCATCGCACACAGGAGCCTCTGCTTCAGCTCCTCAGACGCCCTGCCGGGGCCTGAGGCCAGGAGCTCACTCGGGGTGCAGCTGGAAGGCGCCCCGGGCTCCGGAGGCCATCCCTGTGAGGGGGCCCAGGGAGGGGCCGCCGGCCTGAGTCACGCTGCTCTGCTGTTTGACAGGGGGAGACCACGTCTTTCGAGAACCTTTGCACAGTTAGGTGGCTTGGTGACCACGGCCTACAAGCAGTGACCGCCAGTCCAGGGCTGACGCTCCTTTGGGAAAGGCCTCCCGCTTAGGGTCAAGCCTTCAGGGAGCGCTCGGCCGCGTGGACTCCCAGGGAGGCGTGGGCAAGGCGATGAGCCTGGGGAAGGCTCGGCAGCCAGCGGGCAGCTGGACGGCCTGCGACCTGCTTCTGGCCTGAAGAGGCAAGAACCAAGAAGTGCATGAACTGGGCTGTCGCCGGCGGAGAGCGGGCAGGGAGAGGCAGGGCCGGCGGGGAGTCCCCACAGGAGGGCTGTTTCCACAGCGGCCCGGGCCCCACCGCGAGGGGCAGCTGCAGACCCGAGGGCGGCCGGACCCACCGCTGTTGCTGTATGGAGGTTCGGGGCTCGGTGTGCTGGAAAGAGCTGCTGGACTGTTAGTGCTCACTCACACAGCGACAAGACTCGTTCTCAGGGGTTAAGTCGGCCCCGAGGAGCCGTCCCAGACCGCAGCACGAGTCTGATCCCCGGCCAGGGAGGGACCCCGGGCACAACAGGCCCCCCCGGTCTCCCCGCTGCTCCCTCAGCAGTGGGTTTCAGAGCATCCACCTGTTCTGCTCCCCGCTGTCTCACCGCCCCGCCGCCGCACCCCTGGCCTGTACCCCAGTTCTTGTCTGCATCAATAAATACATTAAGAAAATCATTGTTAAGTTCAAGCTCAAGATGGAAGACAGCCACCAGGTTAATCTTCCTGTAAAAACAACTGTTACTCTGCCTACAGATCTAACTATCCCCCTGACCTCCTACAGAGTCAAGACCTCTGGAGGCCCCCCTTCTGCCTCGCTTTGCCATCAGGAGGTGCCCTCTGGCCTGGCCCCGGGTCTGCGCAGGGAAGGGGCCGCCACCTCCCAGCACCGCCTGGCGTCCTGTGCTGTGCGGGTTCAGCCCCCAGGAGGCCGTCTGGGCCTGTATCCTGGGAGGGCGCAGCCCAGGCCCCGCTTCAGGGCCAGCCCGCTGCTGCCCCAGCGCCCGCTCAGAGGGCCCCTCCCCTCCGGGGCTCCGCGGCCGCCGGCCATCTTCCCAGGGCCCTGCAGCATCCCAGTCCTCCGCTCTGTCTGCTCCTCTCACCCCAGCAGGCAGGGGACCCCCAGGCCAAGAGAGGGGTGGAAAGGCCGCCGACCGCCTTTCGCGACGCTGGGAAGTGTCACACTTGGGCCGGCGCTCGGGCGGGTGCCAGCGGGTGCCCCGTGGGGCTCTGCCCCGTGGCCTCAGCGCCCTCCCTTCTAACACAGGTTAGCAGCTACCCTCCGCCAAGCGCTGCCGGAGACCAGGTGGCCGCAGAGGCTCTGGGACCCGCCTCAGCACACGGCCGCCTGGCGGCTACGTCAGCCTCAGGCGGGGCAGGGAAGTTCCAGAAGAGTCTAAGGGAGGACGGGGTGAGGGAGAGAGCCTGCCGTCTATTCTGCTATCAGAGCACACGTCAGCCGTCCATTCAGCTGGTCTTTACTACTGCTTGTCACTCCCAGCAGGGAACAGTACGTCCTGGAGGGGGCAGGGGAAGACGACAAACAGGCAGAGGAAGAAAGAAAGCGTCTGTGTGGGAGGGCAGGCCAGGGCAGGCCGGAGAGGGCAGGCGGGCGGCCCAGGGTGCCGCCGGGCTCCTGGGCCCTCAACCCGGGCTGCAAAGGCCGCTGAGCCAGCGGCCACAAGCCCGTCTCCTGGGGCCGCGCCAGCCCCGGGACCTTACCGTGACCGGCCTGCTCCCCAGGAAGTTCAGGTCGCTGTTCTCTCCAAACAGGTAGCCTTCGGGGTGCGTGGAGTCAAACTTCTCCCCTCCCATGATGAAGTGGCTGGCGAAGTAGCTGCCTGGAGAAGGAGACAGAAAGGTCATACACTAAACCGACTCAGCGCCGGACGGATCCCGTGGTCCGAAAGCCGCCCCGGGAGGCTTGGGCCCTGCAAGGGGACCCCCGCGCTGACGACCAAGCGATGCCGCTCTGCCCACACTGCCGCCCCCACGCCCCGGGAAGGCGAGGCTGGCCAGGGCGCTCGCACCCCGCTTCTGGTCAACGCAGAGAAGCGCGGCACGGCCAGGCAAGGAGTGTGGGTGGCGGAGCAGGGGAGGACACCCAGCCAGCGCCGGGCAGTAAACTTTTCAAGACGAGGCCCAGGACCTGCGGCCCTAGGAGGGAAGGAAAGCAGGGAAGGAACCCCGTGGCCCACGGGGCCACGCGGCACAGCGGGAGGCAAGGCCCCCCGCAGACGGTCGCGGGCGCCCCGTGAGCTCAGAGTGGACGCCGCAGGCAGCATCGGTGGCCACTCGCGTGGCGCTGACGGACCCTGGAGTGCGCGGTCTATGGGGAGGGGGGTGCCGGGGTGCCCCGGGAGCAGCCGCCGCCCCAAGCGACGGATGTCACTCACCGCGTGTGTTCTGTACCCTTAGGGGCAGCGAGGAGCTACCAACTTTACGCGGAGGGAGGGAGCCCCAGGTGAGACAGGCGGGCAGGGAAGCCGGTGCTCTGGGGGGCTCTGCCTTCAGCCCTGGGGGGCAGTGGGACCCACGGCCAGCCTGGTCCTCGAAAGCCAGGCTCCAGAAGGGGACCGAGTTCTACATGGGATGTCTTTTATTTCCTGCCATCCTATTAAAAAAAAACAAACAGGGCTTCCCTGGTAGCCTACGGGTGAAGTCTCAGCGCTATCAGCACGGCAGCCTGAGTGCGACCCCCGGCCAGGGAGTGATCACCGCGCAGCAGACCCCTCCTGTCTCCCCGCTGCTCCCCCAGCAGTGCCTTTCAGTGTATCCGCCTGTTCTGCTCCCCACTCTGTCTCTGGGGAGTCCTGTCACCCTCCGCACCTCTGGCCTGTACCCTGGTTCTTGATACATACATAAATAAATCTTAAAAAAATAAAGTCCTCCACAATGAGATACCACCTCACCCCAGTGAGAATGGCGCATCTTAAAACAGCTAGCAGCAACACATGCTGGCAAGGATGTGGAGAAAAGGGAACTCTCCTGCACTGCTGGTGCGAGTGCAAACTGGTACAACCACTATGGAAAACTGTGTGGAGGTTCCTCAAACTGCTAAACATGGAGCTTCCATAGGACCCAGCAACCCCACTCCTAGGGATCTACCCAAAAGACACAAAGACACTGATTCAAAAAGACACCTGTACCCCCATGTTTATTGCTACTTTATTTACAGTAGGAAAGACATGGAAACAGCCCAAACGCCCAAAAGTAGATGACTAGATTAAAAAGATGTGGTCCACAGACACAATGGAATATTACTCAGCAATTGAAAAAGATAAATTCATGCCTTTTGCAGCAACATGGATGGAGCTGGAAGGGATCATGCTTAGTGAGGTAAACCAGAAAGAAAAGGAAAAATACCGGATGGTTTCACTCATAGCAGGAGCATAAAGGACCGGGGGGAAAAGTAATAATAATAATGAACAGTTATATACCAGAGACATTTTGTGGGGGTGGAGTGGGGAATGAGATAAAAAACAGTGGGGGGAGGGAAATGCACTGGACTATGGTGATGACACAGGGTGATTTGGTGATGGGAAGCCCAAGGGGATTACAACTGAGTTGGGAAAATGCACAAAATGATGTAAAAATAAGCTATAAAAAATTTTAAAAAATAGGGCCCTCCCTGGTGGCGCAGCGGGTTAAAGCACTGCACTGAGAAACTAAAGCCACTTCCGCATGAGTTCGATCCCCGCCTGCCCCGGAGGTGACCACAGGGCGCGGCAGACCTCTCCTGACCCGCCCGCTGCTCCCCTCAGCAGTGGACTTCGTTGATCTGCCTGTTCTGCTTCCTGCTCTGTCTCTGGTGAATCCTCTCACCCTCCGCATCTCTGGCCTGTACCCCAGTTCAGTATGAATAAATAAATAAATCTTAAAAAAAAAAAAAAATTAAAAAAATAAAGTCCTTAGCAGTACAGGGCTGGCGGTGGTCTTCCATGCATGGGACATCGAGAGCGCCAGTCCACCCGGGAGAATTAGCGGCGAAAGTGACCTTTCCTCCCTGCAGTGGGTGGGCGTGAGCTGCTTACAGAGCCCGTCTCGGTGCATGCAAAACATCCGTCAGCTAAAAGGGGAAATGACTTTCAGACAGCCACAGTTTTGCCTTCTCCTGCCTGTGAAATAAGTGTCCCCACTGGCATCTGCCGCCAGGCCTGGGTGACCGCCCGCCTGCCAGGCGTCCACGGGCAGGTGGGCCCGCTACCTCGGCTGCCTCTGCAGGCGCCGGACAGGGCCGCTCAGGCTTCCTAGAAGAAAGCCTCTGGCCACTTGTGAGCCGTGTCCCTTCCTAGAGTCTAGAGTCAGACACGGTGCGGAAGGAAATTAGCAAACTGCCTCTCGGCCTGTTTACGCAGGAAAAAATACACCACGAGCAGGTCAGCTCGAGTTCCCTGGCCGCCTAGCCAGGCCCGTTGCTTCCTGGCCAAACTCTGTGGACAGTGGGGAGTCACGCCTGAGGACCGGGGCCCCTGGAACTCGGTCAGGTCAGGCGTCCATCTCGCCCACCGGGCTGGGGCAGAGGCACCGCCGGCTCACAGACGTGGACAGGGGCCTGGACGGCCGGCGGGGCTGGCGTGTGACCGCGGGGCCCTCACGCAGGACCGTCTGGGGCCGCAACAGCCCGAGGCGCAGCTGTGGCAGGGCCGACGGGGCCGCGCTGGCGTCTCCTGCTCCTGCCACCATAAAAATAAACAGCAAGGGGGGTCCGGTGGAGCCAGGGTGACGGACACCGACAGCGTCCAGGGTGAAGGAGGAAAACTGGCCGTGGCCAACATGACAACGTAGTCACACTCAAAGTCACAGTGGCCTGGCTGTCAACAGAAATACTTGCTGTGAAGGAAAAACCTGCACTCACGCTGAGGCGTCTGGGGGCGGGACCCGCACTGGCCAGAGGAGCACTGAGGTGGGCGAGGCAGGCCCGAGCGGACGGCAAGTGGCGGCCGTGGGGCCGGGGGAGGCCTGCGGGGGCAGCTGGCTGTTTGGTCTGCCCGTGAAAAGGCAGCGGGCGGGAGGCTGGGGGACCGAGGGAAGGCGGGCCGGGCCTGCCAGGGGCCAGCGCTGCAAGGCTGAGGGGGCGGGGGGCGGGGGGGGTGTGAAGGGGACGGTACTGACCTAACTCAGAACAGAAACACAAGACAGACGGGCCAGTGAGAAAGACTGAAAGTGATGGCCAGCGGCAACCAGCAACTTCCCTGAACACCGAGATGCACACCTAAGTGGGGGAACAAGACCCCCACCCCGCAAGGGGCCCTACACACTTACGGACGCACTAACACCGCGTGAGACAACAGCCGCCCGCCCTCACGCGGCCAGGGCAGACGGGCTTGGCCGTGGCAGCGGCCGCCCGAGCAGCCTGGGAGACGCGCGCACTCGGCTGTGTAAAAGGCCGCGCCAGGAAGCGCCCTGAGCTTTTGAGACGGTCAGTGGCCCTCCCTGGGGGCGCAGGGGTTAAAGCGCAGTGCTACGAAGCTGGCCCAGCACTGCAGCACAGACAGACCCCGGCCAGGGAGTGACCACAGGGCGCGGCGGACCTCTCCTGGCCCGTCCGCTGCTCCCCTCAGCAGTGGACTTTGTCCATCGGCCTGTTCTGCTCCCCGCTCTGCCTCTGGGGAGTCCTCGCACCTCTGGCCTGCACCCCAGTTCTGTGTGCATACATAAATAAATCTTTGAAAAAACAAGATGGCTGTCAATGGGGGGGAGGCCACAGGCGGGGTGCAGACGTCGAGGCCGCTAGGCACCGCTTCGTACAGCAGACACAGGCGTTCCAGGAATATTTTACACGATCCTAGAATCGGACTGGTTTTAAAGCAACCCTGAAAATTCAGAAGAAAAAGCAACTGAGTGAATCTGGGCCCGCGTCACGTGGGGGGAGCGTGCCCCGAGTGCGTCACCCCACGGGGAGCAGAGGGTAATATGTATGCGCCTCAGACCGTCTGCTGTGGCCGTCCCCGGTGGCAGTGCTGGCATCTCCTGAGAGCTCGTGTGGAGAGGCTGCGTCAGCCGGTGACGCTTTATGTTAACTCGGGAGAGAGTAAAAGTCGAGGTCCAGGAAAGGCCGAAGCTCCTGGATTGGGCGCAGGCTGCCAGGGCTCACGCCTGCAAGTCCTCGGAGAGTTCTAGAAACAGCAAGCACCAGGGTGGCACAGCACTCCAGCCCCGACTGCGGGCCCAGGCGTGGTGTTCCCGCAGGGACCCGGGGCTCCCGGGGGGACCCATTCCGGGCTGGGCGGGGTGCACCCCCCAGGAGGAGCCGGGGGCCATGGACCAGAACACAGGGAGTCCCGGGGCCTCTGGGGCCACGGCAGGACTCTCCAAGGACATGCAGACGGCCCAGTGACCGAAGACTGGGCTTCGCCAGGACAGTGGCCGGAGCCTTAAACTCTGCGTGTTGCGCGCGAGACCGCGAACCCACAAAAGGTGGGGGGACGAGGAGACCGTTCATCATCTTGAGGACTGGTCAGGCGGCCGCGGGCACTCAG